AAAAAAAAAAAAAAAAAAAAAAAAACCAGTCTGTTCCAGTCGTTCAGGTTAATAAAATAAGGACAATAAGACAATGCCTATGCAATTTTTTTTGGGGGAGCAAAGTTTATTGTGGGTTGTGTAAACGGGGAGTTGGGCCATGAACCGAGTGGCTCTTAGCGCCCGGGACGAGAGCCATGTGCACACCACTAGGGAGAGGTTGTGAGAGACGACTAAGGACGACTCAGACGCTGGATGGTCATATTTCAATAGGTTTCTGTTGGTTTCTGTGCGTGTGAACATGTGATCGAACTGTAGCGGAAGTGAACGAGTGGGAGCGAGGACTGGAACCCACTAAGACAGAACTCTCGATCAACCACTTCAGTGTGAACGCTTTTTCCAGCTCTGTGCCGTCTCTGGTCATACTAGATTGGAGTAATTTCTCATGTCGACATGAAAAGTAATGATTTTTATAAAGCAAAAACAAGAGCTCGGCACGCGCATCACACTTTTCGGTGCAAAATTTCTTTGATGTCCACACGCACGAATGACCTTTCCAGTTTTGTGTAAACGTACGTGACTCAAGGGACTGAGATGAAATTAAATTTTAGTTTTCGAGAGAACTGGATGAAACGCTTCAGTGCAACTATAATAACAAAGACGTTGGCATTGGGTCTAGCCAAGTAGCATTGTAAAAAGAGTTTACCATGGTATTTCATATTCAGTTGTTTGAATTGATTCATCGTCCAGGGTAACAGAGCATTTAATAGTACTTGTTGCTTGAAATATCAGGCAACATTAACGATATATAATACATCAAGCTTGAATAAAAGCTCTGATATTTTCTACAAAAAAAACTACCCATCAGGTGGGCGGATGTTGTAACGAGGACCGGAAATACGTCTAAGTCCGCAAGGTAAGATTCCTCTCAGAAATTAAAATGAAGTATTTTTATACAAAAAAAACCTTGACCTTTAATTTGCAGTGTACAAACTTAAGGAGCGTCTATAGCTTAAGGGTGGGACTGTTGCCTAGGAGGATTTTGTAACGAGGAAGACTGATGCTTTATTTCTAGAGGTTATTCACTTTGGCTTATGTGTTTCAATATTCGGTTTTAGAATGGCATCATCGGCTTTTTTGACAACCGTTTTTTTCTGAAAGCATATTTATTTAGTTTTGTTGAGCGTGCTACAGTTATAAGAATAACGCCGCCTCTCTCTTTTAAACAATTCCTCTCTTGTTTG